TTAAAGATTTCTACAACGTTAACATAAAACAGATACGTTACAAAAATAACTAACAATAAAAGCTAAAATGATAAAAAATATATATATATAAATATAGAGATAAAAAAATTTATTTTAAATTATAAAGATTAAATAAGATTAAAAAATATAAATATAAAAACTAAAATATTTTATTTAAAAAATTATAAAAACTTAAAGATAAAATAAATGTAAATAAATAAAAAAATATATTCTAACCTGTATATATTAAAAAGATGTAACACGAGAACTTTTGAGAAGGTAGCCTATCTTAGTACTATCTTCACTGAGCACACTTAACATTAGTGTTATGATCGATCGCACTTAAAAGTTTTTAAATAAATCATTAAATATTCGAATAAAGATTTTTGTTGTTTTCAATAGTTTTGTTATTTATAATAGGTTTATTCTATTCGAGCAGAATTATATTTGTGTGAAATTTATTAATTATTCAAATGAAGATTTTTGTTGTTTATAATAGTTTTGTTATTTATAATAGGTTTATTCAATTATAGCATAATTATTTCTCTTTATCTCTCTATGTGTTAGTTTAATAAATATTATATTTTTATAACTTATAAAAGTTATTTGTTTATAATTTACATTTTCTTAAACACCTTGACCAAAAAATTAATTTTTTATTATTTTCTTTTTTATACATTAAAGTTATAAGTTAAGTTCTAAGATATTACTAATATTATAATAGGTTTCAAAATTTTATGATAGCCTACAAAAATACTTACATATTATTATCAAAGAAAATTTAAAGTCGACAATGAAAATCAAACTAATATTTTTTTAAATATAAGTTTGACTTTTATTAATTAGATAAACTTTTGTTTGTTTATATTATTTGTTGTTATGTGTATTATATTGAATAAATATATAGTGTAAAGTGTGTAAACTCGTGGGGTGAAATTAGAAATTCTAAGTTGGTAGCGACAATGACATTCCAAATGGGAATGGGACTGTAATGTGTGGACCAGGGTGGCAAAACTCAGCAAACCAATTGCAGAAGCTGAAAATGATCGCAAAATGTACAGTGCAGATTATTTATGATTTTACCGCACTCCCAAAAGAGGAAGAGAAATAAATTATAGTCCCAAAGATATTTTGCTTTTGCAAACAACAGTATAATAATGATATGATTGATTACACTTTAAATAATTTAGGATGAATTAACTTGTTTAGGATTCCTTAATGGTCTTTTCTTTGTCTATCCACATATACTTAATTGGTGACCTCACGTCCAATTAAAATATGAGATTCACTACGAGAATACGCAGATGATTCGGACATGATCCAATTACGTTTGAAACATTAATTATTAAGATTTCTGGTAGCGGAGAGTTAGGATAATATCTAGGTTCAAATCTCATTGACCAATGTATAAAATAAAAATCATTTGAAATGTTTAATTTATGATATTTGGTGTATATGAAAAAAGTGATTCGATTCTGATTAATTAAAATTTCAGTTATTGAGTTCAAGTAAGACAGGAAGGTGATGAATCGGGTTATTTGATATGAAAGTTGTGTTAATGCAGTATCGGTCCTACATAATATGCATCCAATTAGTATTCCTAAACTGTTATATTATGCAAGACTAATATCATAACAACACACCTTTCATACCAAATAAATTAAAACTAATGTTATATGTAATGTACAACAAACTTATATAATATCATTTTAGTATTTACCTGTCATCATTATTAATAAATATATTTTTTTAATAATAAATAAAATGATAGAGAGAGATAAATATATATAAAAAAATGTTATACAAGTTATACTATTTTTTATTAATATTACTCTTCTTGATAAGTTTAGTTCGGGTTTAGGTTGCAAAGGTTTTCTCCATATCCTGTATTGTTATTTAATCTTTTTAAAACAGCCTCTACAATTCTAGTTAAGCTCTTATGCGATATAGAAAAAAGAAAATGAAAAGGAGGTACTCATCAAATATGAACAAGTAAAAAAAAAAAAACTATATTAATGGTTAATTTTATAAAATTGAATTCAAAGTTTAGGGGATAAAAAAATATTCTAATCATATTTGGTTATATGTTTCAAATTCTTTTATACTTTTTCTCTTTTCCTTCAACTACGCATTGGGTTTCATCTTTGGCATGAAAAGCATGAGCAAGTGTTGTTGATTGTCGGAATTGGAATAAAGAGAAATCTCCTTTTTGATATCTTTACTTTCTAACTGGCTCCAGAGTTCAAAGATAGGCAATTTCTTCTTCGAACTCTCAATTGAACTTCTAATGACTGATCTTTCCTTTTCCATCAATCAATGATGAGAATGCCAATGTGGGTTGAATTAAGTTGCCTACGATAAGCTATCGTTGTTAATTTTGAATCTTGTATCTTTTTCTTGCAACTACCACCCTGAATATATATCGCATATAATATTTATCGAGGAAATTCCACGCTTTGGAAAAGGAGTTCTAAATATTATAGAATCTATGTCGTAGATGATTATCCAGATATTAATTGTGGTGTTGCATCCATGAATTAGACTAAACCTAGATTCCATGTTCAAAAAAATAATGTTTTATAGGTGGTATTCCTCATTATATTAATATTGAGTTTCATAAGTAAACTTTTGTACTCATCATCTTAATCATTAATATTATTTATTTGGAACAATTTGTTCCCTTGCTTTCTTTCAGCTAAATAATGAAAAAAAAATCTTGCATCAATAAATAAAGTTTAAATTAAATTAACCTCGGACATAAATGATATCCTAACTTTAAAAATAATCCGATTTAAAAGTTTAGTTGACAGAATTATTGGTGACAAAGGTTTATTTTAAAGTCATGAAACAAGTATCTTTCAGTCAATTGGACTAATCTTGCTTACAATATTTTTGGTGACTAGGATTTAATGTGTGATTATGTCAATAACTTTTATCTTTATATATTTCTGTTCAATTTAATTTTTACTTTTATCTTTATGAATTTTTTAATTTAAAATAGGAGTGTGAAAAAAAAAAACTAAATTGATTAATCGAATCGATCTAAAATTAGATTAAATTAAATTATTTTGAAGAGAAATTAAATCAAATTATTTTGTAAGAACAGTTCAATTAATTTTGATTAAAAATAGTTTAATTCGATTTATTTTTTTTGAAAAAAACTAAAGCATATATGATTATAAAGTAAATAATCGAGAATTACATTAAATTGATTCATTTAAAAAAAAATTAAACTGCTTTTAGAAAAAAATCTTACATATCTAAAATATAATAAATGTTCAGTTAATTGAATCATTTTTATAAAATCGAACCGAAAAGGTGAGGAGCTCAAAATTAAAATATACTCATTATCACTTATAAATCATGATAGTGAAAACAATATAAGGGACATATTAGTAGTGAGAGAGTTAAAATAATGTGAAAAAGATTCTAAATTTAAACTTTATTATTATTATTATTGTAATTTTTAATAATAAACAAAAAGTATAAGTTACATAAGTTTTTTCTTTTACACCGAAAGCTACGTATAAGTTAACCGTGCGTATTTTTGGCATGATCTATACATATTTTGCATCGACAATATACATGTTACTCGTTTTTTTTAATTATACATTAATTGTCAATTTTTTTTAGTTATTACATAGAAATTAAAGTATTTATTGATAACACTATAAGGAATCTTATATACATTGACATACAAAAAGTATCATTATAGATATAATATATAATTAAAAATTTATTTAATATATAGTTATATACAATTTTACTGTTAATTTCAAATAAGATTTAACAATATATGTGGTGTATTAGTATAGCCTGTATTTATACTTCTTAACAATATATCAACGTATATTGTATTTATAATATATGTAAAAATAATTTTTAATAATATGTATTGTGTTACTATTGAGTGTTTTTCATATGATAATTTTTTTGTAGTATGAATTTATATTTATTGTTTAATGTTAAGTTAAAAATAAGTAATTATAAATTGTTTAATATATGATAAATGTGTGCCTCCAACCTATGGTTAAAATAAGCATTTCAACTATCGATACCTAACTAAAAAAATCTCCACCTTAATTATATTTTAAGTAGGTTTTGGTCACGTTTTTATGCTTAACAGAGAAAAGTCCAGCTATATAATGATCGCAGTGAGTATGTTCAAAGAGTGTAATGAATGTAAACCGTTAGTGTAAAAAAGAAAAATATTGATGAAAATTATTTTAGGATAAACATTACCAATAAACTTATTATATGCGACTGACTATGATTGAATGAATGTGTGATTTTTTTTTACTCTATATGTAGATAAACATTGATTAATTAAAGAATGTTAATATAATATTTTCTTTGTCTCATAACATGTATGCGCTAGAAGAGAAGTTAAATATCAAAATAAATCTTATATTAGTTTTTAAATTAAGTATTAATTACCTTTTTAATTTATACCCCAATAATATTTATTAGAAAATTATTATTGTGTTGTATTGTTTCTATTAAAGAATAAGAATAATTTAAAAAAAATAGTATTAATTTTTTATTTGTGTAAAATAATTTAAAATGATACTTGTTATGAAAAAAGGGGAAAATATATTTTTTGTAGGAGCCCCTTTAACTGACTCAACATAGAAGACACTTGATCACTAATTGGATAAGCAAATTAAAGAAGAAGAAAAATGTCGTAGCTAGTGAGAGTCCTATAGCAGTACAGAAAATGTGGTCATTATTATTTATTAGTCATTAAGAGAGACCCCATCCCCCATGTGTAGAATATGAGTGAAAATCCATGATCCTCCTCTCAATGACCAGCAAGTAAACAGCTATTGATTTGTTGCTGCGAATTGTGTGCCTAATACGTGTTCATAGTGTGGCCTCACCTCAACTTGACGTATACTACCAACACAAACAATATGTTTTGAAGCAAGAAAGCGCATTAATTAATTAAAGCCCCTTCCGCGAATTTCCCACGCTTTATCCCATTTCGAGTTTCCCTTTTATTTTTAATTATTAACCCCCCAATCCTGAAAAAAAGAACCATTGCTTTCAGGTTTCAACTCACTCACTCTCTCTCTCTCTCTTCTTTAAGACTCTAACCCTTAAGCCTTAATCATAACCAGTAACCACCCACAACAGCCACTTTCATCAATTTACTTAATCTCCACATAACAAAAACAACACCAACAACAACATTTGTTGCTTCGTTCTATGTTCCTGTCTAGAACAACTACATGGATGGCAACGTTAACCCTTTTGGAAACGTGCCAGTGCCACCCCCTCCAATACAAGTCCCTGACTTTGCTATCTCCTCCTCCTCATCGCCAACCCCAACGACGTCGTCTCCCTCTTCGACGCCCTCCGCCGGCGTCCGCTTCCGGGGAACGCGGAGCCGGTGCGGGAAGTGGGTGTCGGAGATAAGGGAGCCACGTAAAACGAAGCGCATTTGGCTCGGGACATACCCCACACCGGAAATGGCAGCAGCGGCTTATGATGTGGCGGCTCTCGCGTTGAAGGGACCCGACACGCCCCTTAACTTCCCCGATTCCATACTCTCCTATCCGATTCCCGCGTCATTGTCCGCCGCCGATATCCGCACCGCCGCTGCAGCTGCGGCGCAGGCTAGGATGGTGAGGGTGCCGCAGGAGAGTGCTAACCCTGGTGGTCATGGTGACGCTGGACAAGGGTTGGAGAAGCGTGAGGAGTACATTGATGAGGATGAGTTGTTGAACATGCCGAATTTGCTCGATGATATGGCCAGGGGAATGCAGGTTAGTCCCCCTAGGATGGAATTCTTTTCTTCTGATGACTCACCTGGGAATTCTGATGGAGATATCCTTTGGAGTTATACTTTTTGATCATCCCTCATTTCTTGTTTCTGGCACTACGCTAAAAAAATTATATATAAAAAAATTGTTTTTTGGGCTTATGCTACTACAACGCCTAGATCGATATCAACTGATACAGGATTGTTCCAGGTCTCCAAAAGTCCTGATATGTAACTAAGTTAAATAGTTGGGAGACAACTTTAGCAGGACTGTGAGGATACCTGTGATCTTGTATAAAAAAAAAAAAAAAGAACAGTTTGAGTGTATATGGGTGGGTGGTTGTGTTTGGTTTGCCCTTTTTCTTTGTTGAAGCTGATTTCGGTTTTGGTGGTTGCGGTGTATATGGATGTTCAAAGGATGGGATAATAAGGTTAAGGTCACACTCATTTGGTGAGAGATGGCACCGATTTTAGGGAATGGTTTATGTGATATGCCGTGCGTTTAGTTCCGTAGTTGCGTACGATGATCTAATCAGTTGGGGGAAACTTACTAGAAGGATTCTACTTTTGATCATGGGTCTTTCTTTCTCCCTAGAAATACATATATAGACGATTCTATGTGTGGGGTTTGTTTGCCCTTTTGGGGTACTTTTGGGGCAGATTTGTATTGATTGAATAAAAACTATTTCTGGCAGTTTGTTTGTTTTTGACTGGGATGGTGCTAGCAGTTTGCAGAAGTTTCAGGATCTTTCATGTATGTATGTAACTAGGCTCTTCTAGAGAATGATATATCTATAGCATAGTATATGACAAATAACTCTTGTATCTATTCTCCATGTGCTATATATGTATATAGCTGGAGCCAAAAGTTACAGTGTTAACAATAACAATGTTTCTCCTTATCATAACTTTCCTTCTTATCAAACTATGACTTACAGCTTCAGCATTTAACCAGGAGTTGCTATGCTAGGAATAGAAATCTAAGGGTTTTAGAAGAATAATTTTTTTAAATCAATAGTGGATGTATAAGTTTGAACATATCAATAGAAATAGAGAAATTTGTGTTTTAGCATTTAGTTTGAACACATCAAGAAGCAAGAAAAGGAAGAGTTTATACCATAAAATTTCTCCTTTTTTTAGTACTAAAACCTGATAATACCACAAAATTTATCTCTCTCTCTCTCTTTTATCCATTGGTATCCGCACACAATATCAAAAGAGTTTGCAATAACTAAATCACATTTACTACTCTACTAATTAACTGAGCTAGACACTTGACACTTAAAAATTTCTCTTTAAACAAACATGCAGGAAATGATCAATTCCAAAGTAACACGTCTCTCTTTTGATGCTTTACTATTGGATTAAAAGAATCGATGTTTTGACCTCTTTTTCATTCATTAGTGTCATCAAGAGAGATTTTGCTTGCATTAAATACCGATGGAATTCTGGAGGGCAGTTTCAGGTGTGTTGGTGGAACAAGATATTTTAGTACTCTACATATCCATCACATTCACGTCGGTAGCCTGATATAGTTTTAGTACATATTTTAACGGTGGTAGCCTGATATGGTTATAGTACATATGTGAATATATATATGTTCCTGCTTTTGATAAGTAGGATTCAATCCCTAAATGATTCTGAGTTCACCAAAACCTTGACCAATAACCAGACATATATATAAGAAGAAATTTGATGCATCAACAAGAGACCACAAATGACAATTACTCCTCTTCTTTTAGTTATGGATCCCCTATCATTAACGTATGACAACTACCATGTGTTCATCTACATCTAAAAGAATTTTTTTTTGAATTTGAACAGGGTTTATAAATGCTGTGGAAATTGGAACATGGATTAAGATAGAACACTCTGGTCTATGATAGACATTTACCTTTTGGAGGCCTTCCCTTGTCAATATTTGCCGACATGATGCAAAGTTTGTGCCGACGGTTATGACAGAATGTTGATACATATATTGATGATTTCTGACCAAGGCGCCTCTATTTGAACAGTAGCATATTTTCCTTTGCAGGTGTCATATTTACCGATTGAAATGTTTGATTAGGATATAATACTTTAATTTGGTTTATTATTGAAAACATATTATTTTTTATTGGGTGTAAGGACGAAATGTCAGTACAAAATACACCAAGTTGGCAAGTTACAACTATACTTTGTTTGAGTGTGATAACAAAATGTCCTCCTTTTGATATGGTGTGAATGTGCTTTGTTGACCAAGTTATTACTTATTAGAGATCGATATAGAAATGATAAATGTAAATGATTTTATAACCAATGAAAATCATCTAATTTTTAACTCACTTGAAACTTTGAAAGATTGCTGAAATACACTACTGTGTAAGTGGAAGATTGAATTTCGTTTGTTTCCTTTTACTTTATTTCGCTACATTATACTCTATATATTCTTTAATGACAATATAATTAATTTGAGAATGCTAGTTTGGGTTTTATAATCTAGATAAGGATATTTGGTAGACATTAATTAGCTAGTAGTAACGATATATTTTGGCTGGAATGAAAAATTGTTACTCCGTAGTTTGAGATACGGATATAAAATCAATGCTGTTTGTAGAATTGGGACATGTAAATGAAATGATATGATTAATTATGCACAGAAAACATCTAGAGAGAAAAAGAAGAAGAGAATATTAGGTCAGAAAATGACAATCTCATTATGATATGAAAGTCATGTTCTTCTATTAAAAAAAAACTTAGTTATACTTTAATATTTACATAAGATACATAATGACATTGCAATTTTTCTTCTTTTGTCCAAAGAGAGTATACTACTTTCACATTGTGAGAAACTTTTTACAGAGTGCGTGACCGTGTGATGAAAAATTCACTCAGACAGTTTCGTTATGCCTGACATTAATTTTAAATTTTAATAAAAATACATTTTTAATATAACTATTTTCTATTTTTTTATTTAATAATAAATTCACATATAATTAATATTAATCATTTTTGCAATAGCACTTTAAAAGCCATATCTAAAAATTAAGGAAGTATAATCTAATTTGTTGAGTAGAGTGTATGAGTTATTGTAAATCTCCTTTAATACTAAGTTTGATTCCCATTAATAAAAAAAAAATTCAGCTTTTGATTGATAATGTGGTAAAATTAAACTCTTAATTTTATATAGTTTCAATAAAAGAAAGTCTCGAGGTTATTAAGTTACATTGAAAACAACTGTAACACTTGAAAGAAGGGGGAGGTGTAAAAAATTAATTAAATTGTCTTATTCAAAAAAAAATATTTAAAATTTTAAAAATATTTATGTTCAATTCAGGCATTCACTTGAAAGGATGAATAAATTTCATTCACAATAGTTGAATGTAAATAAGAAATGTCACATTGCGGACGATTTCAGTGGCCCCGCCTGATCGTCGTCTCCTTGTTTTAATGTTTGAAAAAGAAACTTATAGGTATGAGCAAGAGTCATGAAAGAATTATAGTTTCATTCCAGATTACATGGTTTTTTTTTCTCAACAAGTAATTCAGTTGGGATTTTAGGTCCTTTTCTTTATTTTATTTTTCTATTTTCATCATTCCTGTTGAAATGTTTGGCTGTCTTAAGCGCCTAGTGAAGATGGATTGGAAGATCCATTGTCATCTGAACTATTTTATTTTGTTATGTGCTCAAAGTCGACTAACCTATTAAACTTTGCTGAAGCAAAATGGAAAAGTCGGATGAGAGTCTTGCCTCACTCAGTTGGGATTTTATTTTATTTTATTTTGTAGTATTCTCTATCACTAATTTTTCTATACATACAATTGCCTCACTCTTTTTTCTCTAAAAGTACCAAGAAGCAGCTAGCGGTTCCATTAATGTGTTCGTGTTAGTTTGTAACTGCAAAGTAAATCATATTTAGAGTTCATCCATTTTAAATAATGATTATTATATTTTGAGAAAGAAGAATATTGAAGACCCAATGGGGTACGTAATACTTTAAAATAATATCGAGAGACACTATGGCATAGTTTGATATTCGATTATTAAGAAATCCAAAATTTAGTATACTCAATTTTGAATACTAATTTGAAACGCAATGGCAGACTTGGTTTAATTCACCTGATGCAGGTAGCGAAGTTCTCTTACAATCAATGTTGTTGTGTACAACGAGTTGTTTCAAGTTTCCCAACTGTGTGTGCATTAATTTTTTAATAGTAAAAAAAGGCATCTATTGAGTCTTTTAGGCAAATCAACATAATTAAAGTTTGTTTAGGTTACATGATTTGAAAGCAGAGAATACAACACAGCTAGCAAGGTGTTTGGAAACCAATTTAAGTGGAATTAATCTCATCTTTAATGAGTGCAAACGGGTCTAATTATCGTCTCAACATGTTTGATAAATAGGCAAATTAATTTTATCCCCAAAATTATGATTTTGATAGAAACAATATTATATTGCTGTGGTGATGAAAAAATCAAGTCACCTGTGCACTGACAAAAATATTTTCTTAATTTCATATTACAATATTACTTTAATATATCTCTTTTTTTAGTAATATCTAAAAGTATTTTTTTATTGAACATTAATTTTTATTAAAATTAATTTACTTAGAATTTATTTATTTTTTAAAATTAGTCTTACAAAATTAAAATAAATTTACAATCCAAACACGCTCGAGTGGTAAAGTTTGGTGGTTACCGAGTAAAAAGCAATATCAATTTGTAAGCATGCTCAGAGTATAAGCAACTATTACATTTTCCATTTTTTACCTAAAGTTACTGATTAATGGATTCTAACCGTACGTGTCAAGCTCAGATTGGCCACTAAAAACTAAAAAGTAAAAGTGTCACATCGTGAGGTCAAGTGGGAAAGAAATGGGGATTATTCTACTGTCTAGATTTTTGGGAGATTCTAAGGTTCGTTTGTCCCATAATTTTTTTTTTTAATTATAAGACTTGGGTTAATTCAACGGATAAGCTTATAAATATTGTAGGATTCTAGTTGATTAAATTAAGTGTCATGAGATCAATAAATTATTAATATATCAATAATTAATACTTAATCATCAATTCATGTAATATTTAATAATTATATACAAATATATTTGATCGTTCTAAAATTATACAACTATTTCTTAATAAATGAATATATAAATATGATTTTTGTTGAAGTTTAAGTACGAAGTAAGTTCTATATTGTTTAAAGTTGCGTATGTTAGTAATATATAAGCGAAAAATATTCATCTACTTAATGTTTTAGGATTTTAAATTATGTTGTAGTGTCAAGTTTAGCTCCTCAACAGTGGTATCACAACTGATAGTTTGACTAAGTGATTGGTATCGACTCAAACAAATATTAATAAATAGAAATGTGTGTCATTGGTGTGTAACCACACTCGTAGACCAAAAAAAGATTTATGTTTAAAAAAGAGTGTGACTATGTAAAAGAGACTTACTTCAAAAGAAATGGTGAAATTCAAATATAAAATAAATCTTATATTAGTTAAAATTAAACATATAAAATAATATATAAGTAAGAAAAATTCACCTACATAATATTTTTAGATTTTAGGTTATATTAGATATAAAATTTAGTTATAACTACTCATTATATGAAATTCTTAAACAATCCCAACATAATTACATAAAAAATGAGGTTTTGGAGAGTCTTGTCAAAAGATAAGATGGAATCTTAATTAATAAAAGATTATGTATGCACTTTATTTCAAATTTTATTGGAAAAATTCGAAGATACAGTATAAGATTAATAATAAAATACAACATATGAAAAAAAATGTAACAATTGAAAATAGGAAATATAATTAAAGTAATTTATCTACAAATAAAAAATTACAACAATTTAAAACTAATTAAAATTAAAAAAATATGAATACGTCAAAATATATTTTATAAAATAAATAGAATTATAATTTATATTTGTTATTTTATCGATTATGAGTTCGTTTTTTTTTTATTTTTAGTTTTTGGTTAATATTTTAGCTAGCTTTCAGCCAGGTTTTCAATTTTTTTTGTTAAACATAGCTATAGAGACTCTTAAAAGATGCTATAGCTATTAATTTTTTTTAACAAATACTTAATACAGTCAAACAAGTTTTTTAATAAATAAAATATAAAAACTAGTTAAAATGTTTATGAAACATTTTTTTTTACATCGGATGAATTGAAACTATCAATATCACAATAAATTTATTATTATCGATAATGATTTACTAGTAATAAATTAATTATTTCTATTTTATTATCTAATAAAAAAATTAATAGTTAATATATGAAAAATTCTGCATCCTCCGACTGAATTGTCCGAATCGTATTATGAGTGTTTAAAAAATTAATTTAAATTATAAAATATTAAATTAAATAATTATTTAATAATAAATTTATTAAAAATTATTAATATTTTAAAATTTCAGAGTGTACTTCCATTCCGAATTCAGAGGATATAGCAATCCTCTTAATATATAATAGTCACTAAAAATGTCTTTACATTATATTAAAATTTACTATTAACGATAATTATTTATTAAAAAAACAAATTTCACATCGACTAGAGATATGATAATTAAAGAATATATAAGTGAATGATAACTCTCACCTTACAAGTTTGTTTTGTAAGGTTGAGTTAGACCTATAACTCACTATTCTAAATTGATATTAGATTACTCAGTATTACCAAACTTCAATAGTGCTAAACTTGAGAGAATGTATTGAAAAAAACCCAAGTCCCATATCGTCTATTAATAAAATAGTTAAAGAGTATTTAAGTAGAAAACAACTTATTTTATAAGTCTCACATCTCTCACTATAGTAGATAAAATAATTAATTATAAAATAAGATAATTAAAAAAAATAAGAAAATTAAAGAATATATAAGTAGATGATAACAAATATCACAAAAACTAATTATATATTTTTTCTGACTATTATAAAAGTGTTTATCAACATATAGAATGATTGTCAATAAATATTTTAGTAATACTGATAAAAGATTTTACAGTAATTTTTATTATTACTAAAAATCATATTAAATAAAACTAAAAATCTATTTTATTATAATAGATATTTATAGTGTGTTTGTATAAAGGTTCAGTCAAAAATTAACGTAAATTTTGTCAAAGATATTCCATAGTTACCATATATAATTGCTTTTCCATTTTTTTGCATGGAAAAGTAGGTCCTATCATCTCAAACAGCTATCTAAACAAGCTCATAGTAGT